TGACTTGGCAGTATACCGGTATGTATATTTGGTTGGCGGTATAGGCATATTCTTGGCTGTATGGCACCCTATCGACATTTCCCGGTCAATATTTAACGTCGTAGCTGAATGAGGCTAGTTCCAGCCTCCAATGCTGAATTCTATTGGTACTAATTTGGAATCATATTAGCTTCTCACGAAAATTATTCTCGTTTCTCTCTTGATCGAATGCTTCGAGATTTTCTTTGATTAAACATTGTAATATTTTCCATAGAAGGCTATCACTTTTATTTACTTTTAAATTTCCCGTAGGCTGTATGAGATTTATTATTCACTTCCTCTTGATGACCTCTTGGAAATGATTACAAATTATTTATAGAGGTTATTTTTTCTCGTGAAATGTAGACTACTGCTGTGGTCTCCGTGTCCATATATTTGAGCATCGCTCTCTAGTTTATTATTGTTATCACATCATGAATTTATTACTGTATTTGATGGGGGGTTTGGCGCACACCGTGTCATTTTCATTCAATTTTTATATTGGTACTTTGGAGCTAAGATTCTTGTACCAAAATAACAGTACAGTATCGGATATATTTTAATGATTTGTCTGGATTGTCTTGTTGATTATCTTATGATACATTAGACCTCTCTTGCATGATTTCATTTATATGAAGGAGGGATTATTCTTTTTATTTGAATTCGAAAATGATTTTCTCTTGCTTACCAATGCAAGCTTGTATTATTTATAATTGTTTAGACTTCATAGTTATCATTTCCCACATTTTCGATTTATCTCGGTAGTTCCCATGTTCCATCCTCTTTTTTTCTGATTTTAATATACCCGTGTCATCTATGTGCTATTGCTCTTTTGTCATAGAAATGTCTTTTAGTTTAGAAAACTCTTATATTTATTCAGTTGCACTCCTGGTTTCAGTAATTTTTTAAAAACTGTCACCATAGATCTCAATCTTTTATACTACAAAAGCTGTGACGGTGATGAATTCAATCTCTCAATCGCATCTCGATATTTCAGCAGCGCCTAATATCGATTTTCAGTATTTTTCGTCGTTTCAAGCAATCTATTAGAAAATTACTCTAGCTGTGCATATAGAAAATGACTCGATATTGCGTGTTCGAAATCATTTGCTTTTGCCAATTGCTTTATAATATGGTACATTATATGTCACCAAAATTTCGTCTCTAAGCATGAAAACTACTCTTTAGTCACATGTTGTTAGTTTAATCACATATGTATTGAAAATTTGCTGTAATAGTATGTATGCTAACTGAAATAGTCTAGTTTTATTACGAGTTTGGGGATTAGTCAAGTGACTCCAGTAGCATTTGTATCTGAAATCATAGCCAAACCCTAACTTGGTACACATACTACGTTCCGGTGTCCGCCATCTTGTTTCACATACTACTACCCTTTGCCATCTAATTTAAATTTCACAAGCACTCGTTTTCAATTTCAAATTATCTTGGTGATACATATATAGGCCCTATATGACATTCGGTATTTTATTTCCTAAAGAATTTGGTATAACAAGTTTGTATCCTTGTTTAAATGTCAATTGTTCTTTGTACCACTAGATCAACTTTTGCTTGCCAAAATTGTATTTTTTTAACTGGACATGCATTTTTGACATGAGGCACATTTTGTCACAACGTCTTGAATTTGCGCGACATTCCAAGCCAATAAAATATTTCACGAGCTCGCGTTTTCAATGTTAGTGTACCTAAGTAATGCATCATGTGCATTAGTTTTAGCATTCATTTCTCAAAACATTCGGTACAACAAACTTATGTCGTTTGAATATCAAATTTTCTTTTACCACCGATTCATCTTTTGCTTGCCCAAAATTGATTTTAACTGGAACTTAGGAGTTATGCTTTGGCCATCCAATATTTACAATTTCTTTGTCGTTTCATTTAATAGAATTACTATGTGTAACATTCACCAAATCGTGTGCTCTCTTGCATCACTTTTGAACAAATTATTCAATTCAATGTGTACCAAAAACAATTCATCAAATATCAATCTATGCTTAATATTGATTGATTAACATGATTTATAATATATTATATTATTAAGATTAATATCAGTTTGATCTCTTGAACTTTTTATTTGTTTACGTATTATGTCAAATATTTATACCGCTGTATGCAGAGCATTGTGCACTACACATCCAGTTAACACACGCTCATTCGATTGTTTACATGCGTACTCGATTTCCACCCGTTGTCTGGTGTCGTTTCCATCGAATGCCCACACTCTTTCTCAGTTCTTAATCCTTGATTCCAACGACTAATACACAAATTATTAATGTTTTTCTGGACTTTTGATTTTCTTGAAGTCATTGAAGTTAAGTGAGTTGATTGTTCATATAATCTTCTAAGCAAGGCCGGATTTAGACGACATGAGGCCCGAGGCTATTCCGTTTGTGATTTCATTTCACTTTCAAATAAAGTAAAATACGAAATTTTAGTTACGATCAGTTTAGGTACTGGAATAACTCAAAATGATTGAATAGTAACTTGTATTTAAAAACACCTTAATAAAACCAAAGGCTGTAATAAAACGCCATGGCACAGGATACCTGACGTCATAACACCCATTTCTAGTCGTGAGAGGTGGGTGTGTGAAGAGAGGGGATTATTAAGCCGAATGAGAAAATAAATGAATATCAGTTTGAAAGATTTTTGAACCGGTCAAACTCTTGATTATTTCTTCACTTATCAACTATAATGCAAGGTTTGACTAATGATATCATTTATCAATACACAATACAGATAATATTTGACTCAAGTTCTAATATCGTCGAATAACCCGTCACTTGTCTTGATTATTGGCAGCTTCTAAGTCTATGACTACAAATATGTCTGAAGTTTAACCACCGTTCTTCCTCTTTCCTATGTTGTCTGGACCAGCCGGGAGTGGAATGTACCGCACAACTTCTTTAGATTCGAAATTAACCAATGCAAGGCGGCGGCGACTGTGTTTGGCCAGAAGAACAAGAGTATCATTTTCCACGATTTCAATGCCGTTCGATATACACAAACTATCTAAAATGAGTTCGGTATTTTTTGAACAACAACAAAACCATAAGACTCTCGAATCTTATGGCTGCATTAGCAGATCGCATTAGCTAAACATGCTCATATGTACGCCCGCAACATCAAAATGTAAGGATATCGTCTAAAACTATCATGGTTCAAAAATCAATTTTGCATTACATGTTTGGTCATGTTTTTGTTTTCAATATTAATTTTTCAATATGTACCATTTGAATTACGATCTTGTACTAGTTGCAGCATTTGAATCGACGCATACCAAGGTATTATGTGCACGAAATTCATAATCTATTCCAAATAGAAGGTTTTGTCGGGTTTCTTGCTGAATCTGTATGTTACATCGTGGAAAATGAAATAATTCGTGCTCAAACCGCGAGATGGCGTGAGTATTACGCACATGACCATGACGTGATAGGGCAATCGTTTGGAGGAGTTTGCAGCGTTAGTACGTTCCAATTCCGAGTGACTTATTTTGCTTCGCTGCATCCACAATTAGATATTTGTTTATAAGTCAATTTAGTGTGGTATGCAAAATCACCAAATGTAAATCTTGCAATTAAACCATTTACCTTATGGTTGGTAACACATTTCTTTCAAAATGTAAAATTAAAACAATAGATAAATGTTTATATATATGGTCAGAAAGGTCCGACTCCGTGTCCAATGAAAACCGGATATATCAGGATGAAGAAATATTTGCGTGTACGTGTGTAGGCGATTCAATCCAGATATCACTAAAATGAATGCAGGATCACACGAATAAGATAAATAGATTATGGGCAAAACTATTTTTTTTAAATATATTTGGAGAAATGCCAAGGCATTTTATCATGATTTTCAGCGGTGGGACTCATATAAACAATATATTGAAATTAATTAGTTATCAGAAAAAAATTATGTTTCTTGCATTTCGTGATATAGTACAATTTACCACGTTGATCACCATTAGGCTTTGTCAAAGTAATAAATAGGCTTTGTCACAACGTGATTTAACGAAATTTTCAACATAACATTGGTTTATTATAAAACAATAAAATTTTTTTCAAATTTTCCTATGAGATCTATTCAGGCATTTCACAGTAGCTGACAAAATCAGATATTACTAATATTTGACGTTCACCTCTCGGAGCAGAAGCAACTCGAGTTTTTTGTGACTCGGGAAAGCTGTGAATTGACTTGACTCTTGATTTGAGTTTTAGTGACTAGTACACTATATCCTATACCAGTGGTTCTCAACCTTTTTTCGTTCGTGGCCCACTTTTTGTTGCGCGAAAGTTCTGTGGCCCACTAAGTTTTTTATTATAGAAAAGAGTTTTCCAAATGGATTTTTATTCAACTGACTATTAGTGGGTTTTCTGCTGCTGAACATTATCAACGAATACATTGATTTTTGGTGGGTTCCGAGCCTTTGTTTTGATTTGCATCGATATGGAAAACCCTGCTTTCAGATAAAGTTTGAACTTCGTTGGTCTCAATGAATGATGTCCAAAAACTTTATAGCATAAAACACACTGTCCTTTTACTTCACAGTTTCCAGGAGAAGATGGAATCTATATTGAATGTAATTTTTGATTAACTTTCGTTTTGTCATTCAACTGATGTCTAATTCCCATGTTTCGATATACGCTACTATTGAAATTGCTATTCCCCTTCTACAGTCATCATGCCGTATAAGGTGTTTGTTGAGTCACAATGCGTTTTAACGGCGAAGCATGTTTTGCAAATAGACATCTTGTTTTTACAAAACGTGTGGAGCTGATTTTGTAAACGAATCAATTATTTCAATCAACAACCCTGGTCTGTGGCCCACCTCAAAATGTCTCCATGGCTCACCAGTGGTTGAGAATCAGTGATCTAGATGTATAAAAATTGGCACGAAAAGCTAACTGCTATTTTTTCCCTTTTTATTTATTGGGAGTTCAATGTCGTCCTATAAATATATACTTTACGATATAATTTTTCATGTATTTTTTCATTCTTTATGTACGTGGAGTAAAAATACTCTGTGCAAAATTATTTGACAAATTCGGACTAGAATTCACACGTATATATAGCTAATACTTCATTTTATTCATTAAAACCATCTTAGATAAATTAAATAATAATGTTGATATAAATAAAATAAAAACATTGTAAATAACAGCAATAAAATAAAAAATAAGTTAATAGAAACATTTAATCCATATATCTGCACCTGAACATACTCTCATAAGTATTTTACAAATATTAACGTGCGATCTTAAGATCAGAAGTCTGACTTCTCAGTCAGAAATTTTAGTATTTGTGCTAAAATGTGTCAGATGGCAATTCTGATATAAATTTACCATTCCCACCATCGTCATATTGACTACCTCCATACCATGAAATAACGACAAAAATATCAGTCATAAAAATATGGTATACACTTATCGAGTAATGAATAACGAGGATAGAAAGCTTTTGGGATTCAATTAAACTGTTATGGCGCTCACTACTCACTTGTATGAATAACTAAAAATTTCACCACGAGGAATCTCAAATTAAAATATTTATATAACTTTTTTGTTGATACGATAAAATATTTAACAATTTTGTGTTTCTAGTTTTCAGCTGACTGCCAGAAATATACGAATGAAAAGTTGCTTAATATATTCTGATATGTCTGATGAGATAAATGATACCTCGTGGGTTCAACCTGATATACCAAATTCAGCACATTCTGTAATGTCATGTATCGGTATTGCTATTCCGCCAATAGCATTGGTCATTTGTCTGTATTGTGTATACTGTAAGTATACAGGGTTCATCGGAACTCACCATTGTTTATGGCATTATGAACCCATTTCATCCACAACTCTTCTTCAAGATACGAAGCCATTCATTATTATTTTAACCGATATTTGGGATTCTGTAGAGAATCTTCATCTCCATCGAGAATAAGTTGCTTCCGGTGTATAAAGTTGAAAATTTTTCTCCGTAACTGTCGGTTGTGTTGTAACAATGTGTTGTCCTTTAGATGATCCAATATCAACGTGATGCTTTGATGGGCACACTATGAACGTAAAAAGAAAAATATAGTAAATATTTTTGTGGAAGATCGAGTACGTTTATAAATGGATAAGATATGACGCATAGAATAAATGATTATGGTATTATTAAAGATGTAAGTTTCAGAATTTTGAATCGAAGCGATTCGAATCAAACTCCAATTCGAATCGATTCGAAACAAATATCAGAATCAACCGCTTGATCCTATTCTAAAATTGCACGAACCAGCGGCGTTGTCTCAACATCGACCTAAAATGTTTTTTCGTTTATTTTTTCTTTTCGTTCACATTTCCCCCCAAATCGTAATACCCCTGGAGTTGTTACATTTTATATGAGTCACGGTATTAGAGAAACCAATGCTTTCGCTCTATTTTGTTCGACTACGTAAAATGTTAAGAAGTTTTACGAATATATTGTTATATAAACGTTTCATTATATTATCACTATAATAATAACAACATCGTTGCACTGTTCTTTATCAAAAATATAGGACAGCAATGTTTCCCTCGTGACCCTCGCTTTTTTAAAAATCATAGAGCAAGCGTTCATAATTTGGGTGAATATATATTTTTACTAACTTTACTCGTTTTTCAGTCCATTCTTATTATTTATTCACAATTTATCCTGTAGGTATTCAAAATTTAAGTAAAGTAAAGTAAATATGATGTTAAACTAAATAAATCAGATTCGGAAATATTCGAATCGAAACATCCTGATTCGAACTTCGATTGGATAATGAAATATTCGAAACTTACATCCCCAGGTATCATCGCTATGAAGAAGTAATCATTTTCTACTTTGTATAATAGCATATAATACTGCCTAATATATCGATCGAAATTGTTTCAAACTGTAACCAATTTTTATATCCTGAATCTAATATTAGAAAAATCGATAGATTCATGATATATATATATTTCGTATAAAATACGAAACATGCAGGTCTAACCTATTTTGTTAGGTATTCTATATCAATCATAAATGTTTTTCTCTTAAGACGTATAAAAATATTACCTTCATATTCTTCAGCATGATGATCATTCATTTGTACACATTTCTTTCCTCTTCGAGAATCGGAAGAAACTCTACTACGCTCTCGTTTTCTTTCTTGGTGTCCAGACATTTCATAGCAGGAACTCCACGGTCTCCAACTTGACCATTCACAAAATTCACAATCTAAATCAAGTTTATTTAAAAATGCGGATTAACAGTTTGAAATTCATTCACTAAGTTTGATTTTTTGGCAATTGTAGAGAATTTCGTACTATATCGTTATGCCAATATCGACAAAACATTTTTCGTAATAATTAAGTTTGAAAGTTTGATAACCTCTAGCAATTTAGGCGAATAGTCGAACCATAGGCGAATCTATTTTATTTTTATTATCTTGCAATTCATATCAATTAACAAAGCAGTAATTAGTTTCGAAAATACAAGTTTTTCACATCTGTACTCTACAGAACTTTCGCGATTTAATCAATTTTTTAAATATTTTATTATTATTATTCAGAAGAACCAGAACTAAATATTATATTCCAATAACCTAAATGAACTATAAAATACATTTTAATCGCACATAATTAAAAAAAGGTATAATACAAAGAGTTAAAATTACTATTTGGGCATAATTAAATACTATACTGTTGATGACTACCGTGATTATTTTATCAGTCCACTCAAATTTAAGTAAGATTAATCTTTAACAAAAATTGTTTTTAATGAATGTTGGCAATTAATTCGCGTTGAATCGCCGATTTAATTGATATTTTTAATTTAATATTATGATTGATGTAAGTCATAGTCAAGTTATGTAGAAACAACCTCATTTTTTTACCTAATTTTTCATTTTTAATGGGGTTTTGTTTTCTAGAGTTTTGTTTATTCATCGTGCACTCATAAACAATGGAAAACTCAGTTTATCTTCGTTACCAAAATACTGTAGTCAATATATGATTTTCAATAAATTTTCAAACTAGGTGACCACCATTGAACAGTTTATTTGTTTGTTGTGTGCTGTTTTATTTTTTATCATTTTCAGTCGAGTTTGCAAATGAAATTTTAATCTAGAAACGCTAGATTTACCTGAAACTATATTTGTTTATTTTTGACCGCAAAATTGGGTGTAAAGAATAATCAACGAAATAGTTACAACAACGAACTGGGAGACAAGAAATCAAACGTATATTACTGCGTGTATAGACTTAATATTCGGAATATGTTTCATATATAGTGCAACGAATTAGCAATCGATACTTAAATTTTTTAGGTACATTTTTGACTTTTTTCTGTGACGACATGTGTTTATGCAGTTTTAAGTGTATCAAATTCATCAAATGATTTTTATCATTTATAGTGATTGATAAGTTTATCTTTCTCACCACAAAAATTAAAATCAACTGGAAGAATGTATGCTGTGACATGGTCATCATAACTTAAGAACATTATTTTGTATTTAGGGAAACGCCTATTGTAATAAACGATTTTACCATAAGAAATGTGACCTTTTAAAAAGATAGTATAGGTTTGAAGTATATTAATTTAACTGGTATATATAACGAAAAGAAGTAAGAAAGACATGCTGACACACATATTGGTCAGTTTAAAAAATATTTGAAAAATATTATTTTTTGTTTCGATTCGTGGAGGAACGTGACCGGTGAATGCCGTGAGTCATCTACAGCTTGCGACAATTAGCGTAAATGTTTGTTGCCGAATAGGTCTCTGGATGTCAAAACTTTCGTCATCGTTAACAATTGAACATTGTTGTCGGCTATCATATTCGTGACGAGTCGATTTTATTAACTTTTTCAAGAAATATGTGTCAAAATAAAAAGGGTGTCAATCTGGCGCTTAATCGACGTTCCTGTAGGTGATTTTGCAAGATATTACTTCTTAATTATACGTGTTTGATGATTGTAATGTGTCGATACAGGGTTACAAAAGGTGACTTCGATTATTATCTTGATTTTAACAACTAGAAAGTATATAGGTTTTGGTCTGAAATAGTTTTTGTGAAGTTGGTGAACGACATTGGTCGTTTCCTCGTGACGGAATTTTTACGCTTCGAATTAATATAGAATAATCTGTTTATAAGTGACGGCGCCACATCGTGTGAGGTTATTTGTCTTGTTACATTTCGTTTCTTCGAACTCATTTAACTTATGCACACTAATTATATCAGAATATAGATATTTTAGACCTAAATATAAAGTATCGTATGGGAAGCGAAAGGTAAATTAAAAAAAAATAAAATTATGTTTAAGACAAAAATTCAGCGACATGGTACATCCTTGGATGTGGAACAACTTTCAGGCTTTATCAAATAAAATAGTACTCCGCCATACCTTGGAAATCTGCCCATCTTCCTGGACACAACATGTATGGATGCATTACAGATTTATTTTCTCTATATCTTTCCCAGCTTGGCGATTTTTCTGTTCCGTATCTGTAGCACGCCGTCCAAGATGTCCACCCGCAATCATTTCTACATTCTAAAAAAGACAACAGCGTTCCTAAAAACATTCTATGAGTTCTATGAGGTGAATATATATTAATATTAGTTCCAAAAATCGCTCAAACCAAAGTCACTAATATTGGTTTCAATCCAATTTTCAGATCATCATTTAGAAGCATATATCTAAATAGTAAAAATGGAAAATGTTCATTCATACACTTTGTAATCATCATCTTGCTGAATTTCCTAATTTATAAACTGATTCAACTTGAGTTCCTCGAACACACCCAGATACATTCACAGATGTTAAAGCAACTCGTATAGGACACCCAGTTTATGCAATCTAAGTAATACGGCAGAAATTGTCAGCCCTTAGCAATTATTGAACTTAATAACATTGTCTTGCTTTTTTATATGCCTAATTTCAAGTAAATGATTTCATTATCACAATTCACCTTCAAATTCTACTAAAACAGTGGCTTGAATTTCCGAACATTTCAACTTTCCATTTTTAGAAAAATAAGGAAATCTGTGACGTTCTCTTTCCATTGTTCTCATGTATAAATAGCATTCGCTCCAAGATGTCCAACTCGTGAGATCGCAACGTTGCACTTTTCTATTCACCTCACTTCCTATGACGTTTTCGATATCGAGTGGATCACAAACTAAAACATTTTCAATTAGAAACATCAATTAATTTGACATTATTAGTCTTTCATTAAGACTAAATTTTTCAGAATCTAAATGGCCAAGCTTGTGCATGTAGCATACAAAGTGGGATTGCCTATTGACCAATTTGAGGAGAAATTTTCTAAAAAAGATTAACGGCTAAAAAGTATCGGCCAAAAGCAGGGCCAAAGTTATGGAAAAATAAAACTGTAAAATTGCAATCCTACTTTTGGGCCGACTGGTAAATTGAACATTTCCATATGCTAGTTTGTATTATTGCAATTTTCAACGGCATTAGGATCAGTAAAGTAGAGTTTCGGAAATAAATAAATATTGGTTAAAATCCTCGTTTCTAATTGGACTCCGATGGGCAATTCTTTTGATGATCTGAAACATCTGCTTATGTTTTGGAATTCAATACGACGAAAAAAATGATTTATTACTTTTTTCATGCCAATTCTTCTGACAATTCTGTCCTTTAAATGAATATGGAATTCTTCGAGTTCTCCACCGACTTTGAATATATTGGCCCATTATTTTAAAACATGGTCCCCATGATGTCCAGTCATTGAAGCCGAAATCTTCACAATTCCTGTTGCTTGCTCGCTTCGTTCTTCCAGATACTAGTTTCTCAAAAATTGGCGCTATATTTTCAAAATAAAAAATACGATGTTATATTTCATTTTAAAACATCTTTAAACCAGACTGAAAATAATCTTAAAAGTTGTTACATAAACCCAATGAAATAATAAACTTTGTCAATGAAGACCAAGCCAAGAATCTCTAAAATATTGATCGATGCAATCTTGCTTAAAGCCGTGCATGCACAAAGCACAGATCTGCACAAAAATTATATTTCACAATAAATAAAGACTACTCAAGTCATACTATGTAGTAACTGATGTGATCAAAAAATACGAGGGGCTTGTCGAATAAATGAAGGTTGCATCAGGTTAAATTTGAATGACGTTGTACAACAAAAGCAACAATTATATTGTTAGAAATTAATACTTTGTTAGTTGATGTTGAGCATTATGTTTCAAAACCGGAATTAAATTGTCAACAAACGATTATATCATTCTCAAGAATGTTCAGTCATAATATATATATTTGTCATTCCAAGGCAAAGGTAACAGATGGTAGATATGGAGCGTTAATAAGGAAGGGAGTGTCTAAGTGAATAATCTAAGTGTCTAAGTGTCTTAATTTCTTTAATATAGAATGGAATTTGCGATTTTGTTGAAGTCGTCATCAATTTAGTAATAATAGATGCATTTGCATTCTTGATCAATTCAAACTTGGCCTTACTTAACAGTGCATTATTGAATAATTGATCAGAAACGCAATCTCCATTGTATTGCGCTTTCTGCAATAAGTTGGAATAATCTCCGATACTCACTCGAATTTATTGTCCCAAACAGGTGTGCCGCTATCACAATGTGGAAGTATGCCACACAAGAATTGAAAAATTTCATATTTTTGTAGAACCAGGTGTTCGAGCTGATAATCAATCTTGAACAAAGTTGTGTGACGAAACCCGGAAGAAATTCGAGCACGTTTTCTTTATTACTTTACACAGATAAGGCACTGATATACTTAATCTGCAAACCAGAATAAATGAACACCTTTTTAAACGTAAACGTAATAATTTTTTCTGGTATTAAAGCTGACAATTGGATATTGACTGCTCGTAAAGTACTATCACATTATCATACGAATATGCATAGAAAACGCATCTACTCAGCGCAACTTGTAACCATTACTGGCACTAGTCCTACGTATGAACCCCATTCAACATGCGATTAAAGGACACCAGAATGGTGGTCAATTTTCTTATTATTTTAACAGTCAATACAAGCACGCGACAGAGGGAAATGAAAACAATTTTAAAATGTTACAAGGTAACTCATATTACACGGTTTGTATGTATAATTATGCATCGATTTTCCGCTCGTGATCTGACTGCTATTATCATACTTATAAATGTACATAACATGACGTTTAGCACATTAAGAACGTAGTAAACTTGACATGGAAAATACAAACATTTACATTGGCTTTCTAAACTGAACTTATACACTGATATCATCATATGACAGGAAAACTGAATATGGAGATCTTTCATTTTAATTAACAGAGAAAAAATATATTTGGATTCCGCACTGAAAACCTAATTGAATTATAATAAGCCGTATTACAATGATCGCTGTCTAATTTTCCATGATAATTATCTTCTGTTTGCGTCAAAGTAGATTAATAAATACACTTCATGAAAATATGTAGAATTTAATAGATTTCGTGTTATAAAACTAATTTACAGAAACTAATATTTGGGCCGTGAGTCATGAACAAATCTGAAAGCATCAAACTCTCCCGATATGTAGGCAATATCACAACAAATACACTCTTCCTGACTGACAATAAACTCTTTACTCGAAAGTAAATTTCAAACCATGAACATGAAATACACTGATTATTTTTTTAAAAGTCAATTTACGATAACTTAAATACCGAAATTTAAAGTTTTTCAAGCGACTCCACATAGTTGGCTTACCAAATATCGTAAATCTATGAACGAGATAGGAAATTTCAAACGAAAACTTTCCTTATTTAATATCATCATAATATTTACCTCGAACTGACGCATGATATTATGATAGAGAAAAAAAGTTAATTTAAAGCGAGAATTTCGTCACCGCATGGCATTGTCTCGCATTATTATTTGCTAGGAATGGTTAAATATACTTGTATTTTAACACCAGCTACCTAACTTTGCAGAAATACCTAAACATTTAAAAAATGATTAACGTCAATCAGAATTTTGTCCGCTCGTGTTACAATACCCATGAATTTATCACTACAGCAGAGCACATCTGCATCGCTGATGCCCGTTATAATCATTATTTTACTTTCAACAGTTCAAATGTGAACAAATTTTCACAATTTTTGGGATGAAATTTTTCGGAGTTCGTTCAATCAAGCATAATAAAGTCACATCACACGACCTCAAAATATTTATATTTATGTCGTGACCTTTACCTAACAGATTTTTGTCACGACAGTTAATTGTGGTAAATTCTTGAGCAAAAAGAGCAAACATTTGACGACAGTTTTTCCATACACAATGTGGTCGCAATTTATAATCGAACGAACACGCAAAATCCTCTTTTGGTGAGGTCATGGCGTTGCAATTTCTGCTTTAAGAAATTGTGAGATTACAGCAGAAAAAGCATGCTACTTCGACGCAATTTATAGCCCATTTTTATAAACTCTATAAGCAGAATGTGAAGTTTTACCATAACAAGGATGAGAAATTAATTTTCTTGTTCAATCTCGATTTTTTTCCGCTAATAAAAATATGGAATAAAAATCGTTTCATTTATAAAAACAAATAGTTGAATATTAAAACCTGTTTTCGAATCTGTATTCGATAAAGAATATACACATATTAGCTTTGTTTAATGCCAATAATTTGGGGTAAATTCGAGTGTTAAAAAAATCTAATCTTTAAAAAAACAATATGCGAATAAGAAAAATAATTAAATAGCGACAGTAAACCATGTTATTGATTGAAAGGAAGTATGAGACACTTCAATGAACTCTGCAAATTCACTTCATATGACAACAAACCTTCATATGGATAAAGATGATTTTCGGTAATAAAATAAGATCAAGTCTATTCTGTAGTATTCAAATTTTCTTTACAAATCCTACAGTTTTTCTGGTATTTTTATTTTTTATTTCTGTATGTGATTCAATTAAAGTTTCTGGTTTCTGATTTATTTCTTCCTGTCCCCATTCTATGGGTCATAATACTCAGATCCTCGCTCGCTCATTGTCTGGAAGAAGGTTTGAAAAAATTCTTCAAATATAAAAATATAAATATCCTATAATGCTTTTTAAGAATGTTCAATCTCTGGGCTGTCATGTTGGTGGTACCAACTTGAAGCACTACTGTCAAAATGTAATAATAGAAGGTAATATATAGATACGATATGTAAGCAGAACCTATGCTATATCATACTTCATTTTCTTAATCCCACAGTTACGGCCAACATCTTGATGAAGCTATGTAATATATTCTGCTTTAACTTAGCTTTAACTCAATTATTGCTTCAGTTTAAAATTAATCATTATTTAGTTTAAAATGACAATACATCTCGTTAAACAAACGATTAAATAACAATAAACTTTCTTAATGACAAGATGAATTTTTAGGTAATCGACAAAAATAACTTGCAAAACTAAATCACAGAATTATCGCCAGATATAGATTATGGTTAGAACGAATTTCTTTGTATTCTCGCGTGTTTATTGCTTAATCTAATCTGGTTTCATAAGACCGCGGGTTTGTAATTGTTATTATATCCTCAATATAATAACTTTAACAATTTATTGTTGCTATGGTTACGATTGTTTGTTATACTTACGAATCGCTAATATCGATATAAATTGGCACCATTTGTATGCCGAATGATCTCAAAATACAAATTTGTATTGGTGATTAGAAAGCCTGTTCGCGTCCTTTTTCGATTTTCTCTTTCATTTTGTGTTTATGGGAGAAAATCGTGTTCATGTAACTATATATATTAGTATCAAAGTTTCCTATGTATTGAAGATCAATGAGAATAGATATTTCAAGATTTCAATTAAAATTATAATTCATTGCTATCATTTTCTTAACTCAAGTTTTCATAATTTTATCCGAAAGCATCAGGTATTTTAAATTTCAAATAAAAAGCCATCTGCAAATCGTCTTGAAAACGTGCGTTTATACTGGAAGTATAATAGGATTACAAACAGAGATTATTGTAGTTCAAGGCGACACGTTTAGACTTAACGATGTTGATACTAGAGAAAAGACAATAATATTACAAAAATAAAACAAAGTCAGGAAATAAAACAATACAATGAAAGTCAGTAATGAAACTTTGCGTTGAAATCAGCTTAAAGAGAACGGAATTTTCATCTCAATGAAATTTTTTTTAAACCACAAGTAAGTTCATTAAATCACTTGCCAAGAACATTGTAGGATGTGACATTTCTAGTAGAGTCTGATTGTTTCGCATGATAATTTTATTACAGCGGAAGGCGCAGTAATAGTAATAGAAAAAGGAAATAATAAGGAAATAAATAATATTGTAGCTTGAATCCTAATACAGTTAAAGATAAAGTTAAAAAATCAATGAAACAACAGTTCAAATTTAAATCGACTATTTTTTCTAGCAATTAGTTTCTCCCAATTATAAAAGAATCAACCTGATGGTAAATCATATTAACATGTCCTCTATCAAGTAGGTTAATCTATAAGCAGGTTCAAGTCCAATGGTATCACGTTTTGAACGTTAAATTGGTAATCCTGCGTTTCTGAGAATGTAATTCAATCTTTAACACATGTCAATAGCGCAACAAGACATAAATTTTTTCTCCGATGTTGCACACACCTAGCAAGTATAAGTGCAATCTGTAGCCATCATCGTATATCTCGCGCTTTTATATACGATTGAATGCACTGAAATAACCATGAAAAGGTCATTTTGCGAAACTACTACCACCTGTGCATTAAGATTAAACAGCATTATCGTTCAAACCAGAAAATTGCCGAGACGGTGCTTGTGAAGTACGAATAATATAAATACATGAATTATGACGTCATCGATTATAGAAATTAAACTCCGTTTTCTATGTGCTTCAAAAAAATTTCAATATACTTTACTGTCGATGCGTCATTATGCGTAACCGCCATTTTGCGTCTGAGTGGAAATTGGAAATCGTGCCATTATTCACGTAATTACGTCAATTCGTTAACATTTTGTGGTATTATTGCTGAATTGTTTTATAAACACGTGCATTATGTATTTTGTACATAATATCACTTTATGATTATTTACATAATCAAAATACAATGTAAGTATATATAAATAGTAAATGATATAAACTTTCAAAACGAAATTGTAGCATGTAAAAACAAAAATGAACATTAAAACGAAAATCAGTGCTTCAAATGAGAATGATTAAAAAACATAAAAGTATTTTTCAGAAATACTATACCGTTTTCACGTGAAGAATACGTATGACATGCTGAAAGTTAAACATGGAAACTGATTTGAATGACTGGAAATGTTTAAGAATAGTTGTATTCCTAACTTTTTGAAATGTTACTATTAAGAATACTATACTACATTGGTGAGTAACTATTCTTCGTTTTTTTTTCAACATAATCCTATTCATAAACTAGTTAAAACTAAAGAGTTTATGAATAATACTGTTTTCTTTTAACGACATGTATCATTGATGCGATGGGTTCACTTGTGATGAGCTTTATTGTTTGAAAATGGACTGTATGTCTCGTGTGGTTATGAAAGGTAACAAAAAATGTACGAATGTTTCGAAGAGTATCATTGTCGTTAACACATTCTACATTCTATCTACTTGACAAGCAATTACTGGATATGGCGACCAAATTAGATAAATTTATTAAATAACGTATGACTCATCATTCCATTTATCCAATGACATTATATACAATACTCCACTACAAGTGCCGGATTTCCTCTCTTGGCATTTACTTCCTATCACAATGCTATTTTTATCGAA